TTTATTGACTTATTTTTAATCATTAACACATTTTTTTCTTAATTTATGTGTTTAGAAGCAGTAAGTGACATATATAATAAAAATCTTATCAGAATCAGATCAAGCTACTAGATGTTTTTTCTTTTCAAGAAAAATTGTGGAATCATAGAAATGTTTTTGGAAAATATATATAATAGCATGTTTAATTTTGTTATTTTTTTCTGATTTGCGTTTTTATGGCAATACATAAAGCGTTTCAAGGTTTTAAGCTTCGCAAAAATCAATTAGAAAAAAAGTTGTAATTAACCCAAATATATAAATAATAGGAAATTAAACATTTTAATGAAATATTCTTTAAACATAATGTTTAGGCACAGGAGCCCGTTTGTGTTTAGTTTTTAGTTCTTGGAACTATCATGAGCAGAACAATATAATGTCGTAATTATTGTTGGCAGAATGTCAAATAATAATTATCAGATCAAAGAAAATATAATAAAAATGCAAGTAAGACAATTATTACCGCAATAGTGTGTAAATAAGTGATTATTTGAAAATTATTTACAATATCGTTGATTCAGAAATAACTAGTTGTCCCACCCAGTGTTATACGTGTGCTATTGATTTTTTTTTTAAACATGTTTGTTAAAAAATGTATGTTCTATGTTTCTACTAATTATATTAGTAATATACCTATAATAATATGTAACCTAAAGTAACCATTTAAACTAACGAAAAAAAATATTATTTTTTTGAGAAATGAAAAATAATAATGTATGTGTGAGTTACCATTTATCTACCTACATTCTATATAGGGGTTGAAAAAATAATTTATTTGCATCCTACGTTACTTTCCTTGACATCTCTCAAGATTTTCATAGAGTCTGGCACTCAGACACGCTTTACAAATTAAAACAATTCCTTTCTAGTCACTATTAATTGATCCTTAAATCCTACCTCGTAGATCGATTTTTTACCGTACGTGTAAGTTCCTCCTTTTCTTTTCCTATTTAAATAAAAGCAGKCGTACCACAAGGCATATAGTGATTGCCTCTCTGACCTCTACTCTTCAATCTCTACATCTCAGCTCAGCTTACCTCATACCATACTTTAGTTGGCGTCTTTGCTGATGACAAAGCTATATYCATTTACAGCCCAGATCCTGTCTTAGCCTATTCTTACTTACAAAATCATCTCAACTCCCTGGAATCGTGGTACAAAATATGAGGAGTTAAAATGAATGAAACTAAATCCATCCACAGTACCTTTGCTCTTTGTCATGGAATATGCCCAACAGTCTATCTTAATTATCATCCGCTTCCTCTTGCCCAGTGTATACGATACCTCGGTATCCTTATTGACCGCCTTCTCACCTAGAAACCTCATAAAATTAGCAAAACCTGCTCACTTAATGACCGCTTCCGACTCCTTTGACCACTAGTGACCACTTCTAACATCTAAGCACATGAAGCTCTCCAATAAGCTACAAACAGCTATAAAYAGTGTACCTTCCTATTTCAGTTCTTTAGKAAATCAGCATCGGTGTAGGTTTTGTAAAACGRATTGTATGTAGCACATGGTATATTTTTAACGTGGTTCAAACTACTCCCTAAAGTATAGAGTCTAAACTTTTCTGATATATCCAAAATGTTTGTTAAAATCAGTTGTGTAGTTTTTGAGTATATAAGCTACATCTACAAATTTAGTTTTAAGATATAATTTACAAAATTGGGGCCATGAACACAACGATTTGATGCATGATTTTAACCCACGTAACCAATGGCTTGCATTTATATAACAGAAATACGATTTCTTTCGTGAATCTCAAAATCTTTGTGTGATCACATTTTTTTCAAAAGAGTTTGAACCGCCTCCCMCCACTAGCTGTACAATTTGTATTGTTATTTTTTTTAAACCTCCCTTATCGAAATTTTATTCTGTGTACGTGCCTGGTTTATTGAACAATATGAACAATATGAAAAATATCGTCAATATCTTATAATTATGAGGTTAAAATGAGGTCCATTACATAATACATAATTACGTTACTTATATATGTGTATGAATATTTCAAAGATCATGAAACATGTTCAGCACCACGCCATTATCTATTATGTTTGTACAATAATCTAATGATATAACCTGTAAAACCTGTATGCTCGATTTCTGGAAAATATCCACATTTTTTTGATTTTAGACTGGTTGTATTTTAATCAGGGTCGTATCAAAATATTTTTAATTAGAAATGTTATATAGGTGTATTAAATATAATTATATTATAACGTACATATTGTGCATAATAATATGATTTGTAGGTACCGGCTGTAGGTATCTATACCTAATACTGCTATTACATAATTACTACAATTATGAATATATTTAAGATTTGGTATTATTGTTTATATTATTACCATTCACCAAGGTTAGGTTAGGTTAAAGTCGGTTATATTTACATTTGTCGACTTGTCGTTCTCATAAAAAAATCCGGTCCTACACGACTGGTGTACTCGCAACCCGATATTGAATTGTAGCCA